ATTTAATGTCATTCCAAACTTAATTAAACTAGCTTATGCTTATTTAGCATTTACCTTTACATCATTGTTGATTGCTCCACTAAGGTATTATTTGTGTAAACAGAGCTTTCCTAATTAAATAGCTTATATCTGAGCCATTCAGCCATCTCACAGCACACTCTGGGCAGTAATCATCACACTCAGAGTGATGCATGGTGATAGGAGGGTCCTTGATGAATCACACGTGAGGAGGCATGGCAGGCAAAGAAGAAGATACATGGATTTTTTTAAAAAGGAAAACTATCATTTATTGAATTTGTTTTTGATTTCCCACTCCAAAAGACTCATAGTATTTTTGTTTTAATATTCTGCACCCAGCCACATGTGCCTGAATGACAATATCTGAAAACCTGAGCAAAGAAAAAACAAAGAAAAGACACTCCTCTCTTTGATCACGCTTAGAATATTAGTAAAGATAAAATTTTCATTACGTATTATAGCCCCTGCAGATATAAATTCAAAATCCTGGGGATTTCTGAAACTGATCTAAATTTTCCAGAACCTGAGCCCATATTGCTGTGCATTGAATATATTTATCTCATTAACTCCTCCTGAGAAGAGAGCAAGAACCTCAAATATATTTTTTACACCTAAATGCATTCTTCTTTTTTTTTTTTTGGTTTATAATTAAGAAAAAATTTTAAACTAACTAGGTAAATATAAATAATCTTCAATATGCATGTGCAAAGATGACATAAAAGGCAAATGTTTGTTGACTAGTTTAGAAATGCAGATTATGACGCTGGTTGACAGTCTATGGGAAGTCATAATCTCTTTCAAGCACTAGAGTTGCATGTCATTGGGTTTATTAATGACTAAATAAATATAAATAATTCATGAAGCCATATTCCTAGCAGAGTTATGAAATAGCAAATCATAAATTACTGCCTGAAACCTTTTTCTCTGAAGTAAAACATGTGAGTGAGTGAAGTGTGAAATACCTCTCTCTAGATCATACTTCTTTGATAAAAACCATTTTAATTTTATGCTATATTAAGAACAAAGAAAATGTCATTTTCTAAAGTTAAAAATTTTGTATTATCAAGGTAAACAGAAAACAGCAAGTTATCTGAACAAGAGAAACAAAAAGTATACTGCAATAACTGCAGGTGAGTGATTTGAAAAACCATTCCTTTGAACTTAAATTACTATGTTCAAATTTATCTCCTTTAGAATTATGTTACAAGGAAATTTATGTTAAATCCATTAAATACCTTATTTTAACAGTAATGACATATTTTAATAAATTCAAATTCAATATTATTGGCAATAAAAATAAAGAAGGAATGTGCTTCCTAGTCTGAAATATTGCCACGTCAAACTATAATCCTGATCTTTTGAGTTTTTATTAATATATACTAGCAATTTCACATTAAAAGTCCAGGAAGCTCCTTATGAAAGTTAGAAATGTATCATGTGCTTTTGCTTAAGTTTTAAAAATACTACATTATTATACTGCTTTAATTGACAATGAAGAAATGATTATACCTAGAAATATATAAACTCAACTTCTATAAATTTCTTATGCAAGTGACCTTGCTAATATCAGTGAGTATTTCCACAATAACTCTGCTTTCTTTAGAAGGGCAAAAGTTGATCTGATCAGCCAAGAGCTGAACAGACAAAGGCAGGGGGAAAAAATCTACATCCTAAGGCTTACAGTTTTAAATAGGTTTTGTGTCTCATCTTATCTATAAGATAAGCTTAAAATGAAATAGAAATTCCAAGTTCTGTGCCTAGTGTTTTCCTCAATTTAAAAACATTACATTAATAAATATAGTAAATATATCTATTAATATTTTGAATTGTTTTACATTTTCCTTAATAAAGTATGTCAACACCTTTTAGTAAACCGAGTCAAGAATAGGGAGGGATCAAAAATTGTACTGAGTCTCAGAACCATTTAGCGGCCAACACATGAAAAGATGCTCACACTCATTAGCCATTAAAAAAAAAACAGTTGCTGTTGAGTTGATTCCAACTTATAGCGATCCTATAGAACAGAATAGAACTGCCTCATAGGGTTTCCAAGGAGCAGCTGGTGGATTCAAATTGCTGACCTTTTGGTTAGCAGCCAAATGCTTAACCACTGTACCACCAGGGCCCCAATAAGAGATGCAAATCAAAACTACAATGAGATATCATCTCACACCTGCTAAAATGACAATGATTAAAAACAAACAAACAACAACAACAACAAAAACCAGAAAACAACAAATGCTGGTGAAGATGTAGGGAGATTGGAACTCATACCCACCGCTGGTGGGACTGTAAAATGGTACAACCACTATGGAAAACTATATGGCACTTCCTCACAAAAGCAGAAATAGAACCATGTTATGATGCAGCAATCTGGATCTATTCTGTCTTCTGTTAGATCTCTAGGGTATATATCACTCCTAGGCATATACCCTAGAGATCCAATAGAAGACGCATGAACAGACACATGCACGTCTATGTTCATTGCAGCACTATGCACAATAGCAAAAAGATGAAAACAACCTAAGTGCCCATCAGTAGACGAGTGGATAAATAAAACATGGTACATACATACAATGGAATACCGCACAGCCATAAAGAATGATGAGTCCTTGAAACATCTTATAACATGGATGAATCTGGAGGATTATGCAGCATGAAATAAGCCAATCACAAAAGGACAAATATTACATGATCTTGCTTTTATAAAAAGACAAGAATCTGTACATATACAGAGGCCAACATTCACTCGTGGTTACCAGGGATGGGTGAGGGGGGTCACTCTATAGATAGTAGTCACTTGGTATTTTTGGTGATAGGAAATGTAACACCAAATGTGGGTGAAATGTGCTCAACTTGACTGAGGTAAACGATGTCACTAATGTATACGCACACCAAAAAATGACCTTTTGGTAATTGCTATAGCATATATAATTTTGCAACAAAAAACAAACAATATATGGGTGGGCGTATACGTATGTATATGTATGTATACATACATATATATGCATGTATGTGTATAGCTGTATGAGTATATATGTGTATATATAGGCATATGTATATGTATATGCATGTATGTATGTGCATAGACATATATATACACCTATATATACACCTATGTGTATAATAAAGCACATAGGGGCACAGTTAAAAATACTTCTTAGACAACCAACCACCTCGTGGGATTGGTTTTCTATGTTTGAAGGCTTAGGACCATAATTTTGTGGGACAGGTTGGTCAACTGGCATAATATAGTTCATAAAATCTGTGTTCTACATCCTAGCCTGGTGAGTAGTGTCTGGGGTCTTAAAAGCTAGCAAGTGGCCATCTAAGATACAAGTATTGGTTTCTACTCATCCGGAGAAAATGAGAAAGGAGGAAACTAATGACTCAATGAAAAAACTAATTTACAGGACTAATAGTGTGCACGAACCACAGCCTCATCTACCGAGAGACCAGAAGATCTAGATAGTCCCAGGTTACCACTACCTATCATTCTCATCAGGGCCACAATAGATGGATCCTGATAGAATGGAAAAAAATGTGGAACAGAATCTCAAATTCTTAAAAAATCCAGACTTGTTGGACCAGTTGAGACTTCCTGAGAATGTTGCCCTGAGATACTCTTTAAAACTTGAACCAAAACTAGTCCCTGAGGTTACCTTTGGGTTAAATAACAGATTAATTCACAAAATAAAGAATACCACCCGTGAGTACTGTGCTGCTTTAAAAATCATCTATATGAGACCAAACGGTGAACAATTACTTTAAAACAAAGATGAGAAGGTAAGGGAGTAGGAAAACTAGATTAATGGATATGGAACAATCAGAACAGAAATAAGAATGTTCACACATTAAGAATGCAACCAATATCACCAAACAATTTCTGTAGAAAATGTTGAATGGGAACCTAATCTACTATATAAAATGTTTACCAAAAACATAATAAAATATTGTTTTAAAACATCGATCTTTTTATGGTTTCAGTAAACTATAACAGAGAATTTTCTTAGAACTGATTCAACGATATCTTTTTTTTTCCTCATAGTTTCACATTTGAAATATTCTAGTTGGTTTTTTAAATTTGTATAATATACTATTTTTATTTATTTTTAGCAGACATTCCCTTAGAGCAAGATAGGATGATAGAGACATTCCATTGGTGCAATGTAATTACCAAACACACAAACAAACAGAACCCTTAATTTTAACATTTTATATTAGGTGAAAGTCAATATTTTTTATTTTTGAAATTTTGAAATTATGAGTTGTATTATGTAACTCTTAATGATGGAAAAAAAAACTGTGCTATCCTCCAAATTCCTCATACATTCTTCCCAAATCCTGCTCAATTCTTTCTACCCTGAACACCTCAAGTTTATATAATGAATCTATCACATTTAATAATATAAAATTCCATTCTTTTATTAGTTCTAAAAGTGCTCTGTTTTGTTCGTATATAAATCTTGGCATGTCATCATATTTTCAAATGTAGAATTCATTTGTTCAACAAATAATAATTAAGGATCCAAGGAGTGCAGGCACTGTTGTTGTATGGCCTTACAACAACAATAACATCAACAACAATAAGAACAAAAGAAAGACACAAATCTCTGCCCTCCTCCAGGGAATGCGGACCAGCAGAGGCTGGTACGAATATAAGTTTTATTAATCACTCCTTTCCAAAATAACTCTGAAAAATGCCTTTGTTTGTTCCAGTGCTTCCCAAATGAAACTCTAGGGCTATGGAAGACTAAAAATTCTATGAAATCATTTTGATAGAAACTAATTTTTCCTCTGTTACTTATCGATTTAGAGGCAGATTTCCAAATTGTTTCCTTATTTTTCTACACTAACAGAATGTACTATGATGCACTTGGTAGAACAAAATTCTTAAAGGCATTTGGTAGCACTGTATTCTCCCTTTCTCACAGCAACTGAGAGTAATAAACAGATGAACAAGTGGCTAATGCGTAACCTACCCATGGGGGTGCCAACGCCATAGCCTTTAGAGTCTATAAGGCCGCCGATCTGTGTCAGGTTGCAGTTCCGCTGAGTGACAAACTCTATGGTTGTTGACTCCATTAGGAAAGCGTAATCAGAGGTGAGGACTCGCTGGATGCCTTCTTCATTACTTTTGACGAGCACTGACTGCCTCCTGCTACTCATAAAAGCCCACATTTTGTCATATGTGGAGATTTTTGATTTCTGGAGAAAAACAAAATGCATTTTGGTCATAAGAAAGATATCCCTTGGGTTCTATTTCGTCCTACAATACACAGATGGAATTGACTATATTTAGCTTATTCATGCCACCGGAAAATTATATTATTAATAACAGTGATATATAAACACACTCAGAAAAAACAAAATCTTTATAAAAAGCATTTCATAGCAAGTCCTCATCATATTGTCAGGGATAGCACAGATTTGTTTAACAAATTTTTTAAAATTTCTTAAACTTCAAAAATGCACAAGTAGTAAATCATAGAAGGTAATAAATAAGAGAGAAAAAGAGCAAGATTAACAAGCAGGGTATTTCGAGCTTGTATCTCACATGAATACCTCAGGTGTATACTTTTATCTTCCAATGTTACTATAACATCAAATTTGGAGGAAACAGACACTGGCACAAATTGACACTGTAAGACTGAAATAGATATATTTTTTCCCCAATTTGGTTGACCATAAGACAGATGTCACATTAACCCAAGGATACACAAGGTTTAAGTTGAAGAGATAAGGGAAATTTGTTACAAGTAAGGATGTTACAAGTAAAGATGTCTCCATTTCTCTGAGACACAATCTGGTCACCCAGTGCTTATTTGAGCCTGATGCAAGACAACAGAAAATCCATCATTCCGGTCTACTAATTAACTAAAGATTCCTGGACCAACAAAATTGAATAGTTTTATATCTAGCTGAAAATTCTCAGTAGGGTTTTACTAGTATTTCATTGCTAAAGGAAAGAAATGTGTTTTGTTCAGAAGATGCAGTAAAACATAAATATTAAAGGTTAGCATCTACTTATTGAAAACTTTGAAAACTCACCTGTAAAACCCTTACTCATGTTTAATTCTTATACAAACACAAAAAATAACACTGAAGCTCTAAACACAAAGAGGATAGTCATCATATTGGTAGTACTGTTATGAAAAGTCAAAACTATTTTTAACCAAACATAAAAACATGCACTCTTTCTACCGTGAAAGCCTGCTTTCATATCTACATGTTCAAGGTCATAAATATGATATTACCACTACTTCTACTAAAAGGCAGGTGCACAATATTACTGATAAAAATCTTGTAACTATTTCAATAATAAAATTAGAAGAAAAATATTATAATTTACTGGAAAAAAAACAAAAGATACAATCAGCGCTTTATAAAAACAGGCATAGCATTAGGGCTAAGAGAGAGCAGAAATGCAAACCCTTGTCTCATCATCTGAAAGAAAGCAACTATAATAAGACTGATAGGATTGGATCTTTGGACAACTAGGGTGGCATGCCAATTTTTTAAAGTGAAATAATGAAATATTAGAAAAAGGAAAGGAATATTTAAGGTTATGATGAAATATTTATTAAATAATTAAGACCAATAGTGAGAATTTGTATTGACTCATTTGTCTACCCAAACCAATAACATAATGAGGATAACTGGAACAAGTTCACTCGATTTCAGCAATAAACAATCTTCCTTATAATACACTGGATTAACTGGGGCCAAAATACAAAATAAAATAAAAAGTAGAGCTCTTTTTTACACAAGGGATTTTATGTAAACAAGTAAAATTGGACACAGTTTCTGATTGAGTGATAATGTGAGTAATGATAAACATCATCCCATAAATGATATTACACTAAGATTACTATAATAAAAAAAGACACATTCATTATTTGACAATTAAAAGAGTAACATCTTTAATCACAAAATGGGTGCAATCTCTGAGGCCAAACCAAGCAAAGTGTTAAGAAAGCGTACAAGAATTTATTTTTACCTGTATTGGCCATAAAATTGCCTAAATTCTCTGCTTTATTTCAGTTATAAGAACGTGAACACTCAATATTGCTTTACTTACTTGATTTTCACTTCATGATAACATGTTCCATGCATTAATAACAGTTCATTATACATAAATCTTGGGAACTAGCATTTTTATCTCAAAGAGATATGGAACGTAATGGTTAGAATAGCACTAATCATTTAAACGGTCTCTCTTTTAGTGGTACTTTCTCATTTAAACACTATTTAGACAACACTATTTAAAATAAGTGAATTATATTTCATAACAGTATATTAATGCATCCGTTGTTAATATTTTGCTGCCATTGCTTGAAGTCTTGTTTTTAATCAATTCTGTAAAGAAAAGTTGTAATCTTCTTGCATAGGCATATGTATTTATAATACTAATTTAAAGGAGAAGAAAGCACTTTGATCACTTACAGGGGAATAAACAAGTATATTTTACCTATGTCTAAAGAGAATGCAAAGCCAGCATTAGAAGAAAACATGAACTACAGAAATGTTTGAACAGATAGGTTCTTGAATCTGTGTATGAGAAAATCAATTCATGTTATGAACTATATTCATAGAACATGACTAAAATATAAGAATATCCAACAAGAGTGAAAAGGAACATTTCTCTAAAATAGCATGTTAGAAATGATAAATAGTGTAACCAGTAGGGTTGCCAGATAAAATGTATGCAGTATTTTCGACAATTTATATTTTTAAATTATTTACTATTTGTTTGAAGTTCAAATTTAACTGGGTATACTGTATTTTTATTAATATATCTAGTGTCCTTAGTAAGTAGACCAATCCAAGATATTATTTAAGGATGGATAGCCTCAAATATCTAATTAAAAAGGGTATATCTGGCAAAAATAGTTAGGTCTTCTGCACATTTTAAAAATTGTTTCCTTTTAAAACTTACTTTTATTTATTTTTTTAAATTCAGTATAACTTTATGAAAATAACTTTTCCTCCACAGCAATAATCTAATAATTTTCTTTTTTCACTGAACTGGAAAGATTCATTTTGCTTAGATCATTATAAAAAGACCCCAACCTCTGCCATTCAAATTTTAAAAAAAGGTAAATACATCAAAAAAAAATTCCTGAAAACCAACAGATTTTAAGAAATATTAGTAATCATCCTTTACAAATATATGTAGTTTGATTATAAAATAATGTGAAATGTAGTATATTTCAGATTTTAAATGTCATCTATAATACTAATCTTTAATTGGCAAAATAAAGATTTTACAAAGTTTTCCCTGTGCACTTTCTAGAAAGTAAAATTTATACTCACTTCAAAACTAATAATTTATTAACTTTCATTGTTACTTAAGTATTTCTAATTTGCTAACTGCTTATTTCCAGGAATCTATTGTTTATGATTTTTGTACAATATTACTTGTCTTCCTTCCTGTCTGCAGAAGATGTATTTCTATTAGTCTTATACTTGCAAAAATAAATTTAGACAGAAAGTTACCCAAATTGCTTGGTTTTCATAATAAATTTAAAAACCCAATTTAAGACATTATTTGCTGACTATCTGCTAGTCACACACTAGGCACTGAGTGCATGGGGACGATCTCTCTAACATTTACTCTATGTGGCTGCTTTGCTCATTTTGTTGTTATCCTTGTTTAATCACAATTTCCAGATTAGTACTGTCACTTATTTGCACCTCTCAATTCTGGCTGTAAAACATAACTCTGTGCAGAAAAGTTATGGAAGATATAATCACAAGGCATGACTACTCTCATGGATTGAATTATGTCCACCAAAAAAAGTATCAGTTTGGCTGGTTCATGATTCCCAGTATTATGTGGTTGTCCTCCATTTTATGATTGTAATTTTATGTTAAAGAGGATTAGGGTGGGATTGTAACACCCTCACTAAGGTCACATTCCTGATCCAATGTAAAGGGAGTTTCCCTGGGGTAGGGCCTACACCACCATTTATCTGCACCACCTTTTATCTTACAAGAGATAAAAGGAAAGGGAAGCAAGCAGAGAGTGGGGGACCTCATACCACCAAGAAAGCAGTGCCAGAAGCAGAGTACATCCTTTGGACCTGGGGGTCCCTGCGCAGAGAAGCTCCTAGTCTGGGGGAAGATTGATGATAACGAGGACCTTCCTCCAGAGCCGACAGAGAGAGAAAGCCTTCCCTTGCAGCTGATGCCCTGAATTTGGACTTGTAGCCTACCAGACTGTGAGAAAATAAATTTCTCTTTGTTAAAGCCATCCACCTGTATTTCTGTTAGAGCACTATTAGATGATTAAGACAACTACCTTTGCTTGCTCTTTTTTTCCTTTTTTTTTTTTTTTTGGCATAATAATTGCTTATTTGCTCTAGAACTCAACATGTAAGTTCAGAAAATTTTTTTAAAAATTTAGAATTTCAGAGGAGGCTGTTTTCTCACTTTCATTATCCTGCATCTTGTAAATATTGGATGAAATACATACCACTAGCTTTTCTATCATTTCATGTCCCTACCATAAAGGCTAATGATATTTGTATGATCTACATTGATCTTCTCCAGAAAGTTCACATGCATCAAGGAAAGTTTCTGAAAATTCAGACCTATTAAGCTATTCAATAGTTACCTCCTTCTACATAAAGATGAAAAAGAGGACTAGTCCTTCACATCTCTTGGCAATTTCATTACTTCATTTTTAGTAGTGAAGGGAATATAGTGCATCAAAGATTTAAAGAGAAAAGGTCTGCATAGCATAAATTTTACTGAAACCCTTAAAATTTAAGCAGATAATATTGCTTAAAAGGTATGTGAAACAACATCTTCAGCTGCATATGAAGCTTAGGATGCTTTTCTTCCCTATAATTTTGACCACTCAAATCACTGACTACCTACACTTAAGTTATATATAGGTAAATTCTGAATAAGGTATATCTTAATCAGAAGTAATGATCTCTAGTTCTAGACCTCTTATTAATGTAATTTAATATATGTTCTTATTCAAGGCACTTAATTGATTCCAACCAACTCATTTTCCCACATTTTACAAAAAAGAACACTAAAATACAGAAAGCTTCACAATTTGCCTAAAATAATACAGTTAGTTGGTGGCAGAGTCAGGATTTAAACTTTGGCAGATAAACTTCAGAGTTCAGGTTCTTAATCACTGTACCACATCAACTTTATCTAAATACAGATGCCATGGATTTTCCAACATA